ATAATTAATGGGAGAGAAGGGGGACATAAAAATCTACACAATTAGGAATTTACTACAAGGATTAAATGGCTTAGCAGTGGGGGTGGACCCTGTTACACAGTTTTCGCAGAAATGAGTTCAAGGCTACCTCTGAAGCCAAGAAACAAAAGTAGGACTAAGAACTCAATTTCAACCTTGCCCATGACACCTTCCAAATGCTCACCAGTCTACTTTCAACCCTTTCCTATACCTTTGTAGTAACTGAAGACATTAGTGAGAAAAGAAATCAGATACCGTTTCTTACCTCCCTTTCTATGGCATTGATTTTACAGACCTTTCCCACCAAGCAACTAGGGATGACAGCTGATTCCATCTTCTTTAAGTCCCAGAAAACAAATTTGTTTGGTCTGAAGCTTTATGTCAGAGTGCAAAAATATTATTAAAAGGGGCTCATTAACTATGGGGAAAGGGGATTACAAAAATTATGGTTTAAACTGCAATGTTCCCAAGTTACCCCAAGGAATACAAAAAATATCTTTCCTTCTCTACAAGTCCCATTTTCAAATCTAAAGAAGGAACAAGTAGGAAGCACACAAAGGTATGCATAAATCTCTGCTCATAGTTAATCTTGTGAGTCAACAGCCATGTTGGGAATTATGCTGAAAACAAATCAAATCATGTCTGACAGAAGCCATTCTTAGTCCTGACTCCTCAATTATTTAGTGGTTTCTGTGAAGTTTCATATAATTAAAAACAGGCATTTACGGACTGCTTATCTGTGTGCAGGATCCTTCCACCCCACCCCACCCCACCCCACAGCAGGGTGGAGAGCATGAATGGGGGATTTGAGCACACCAAGCTTGATGTAACATAGTTCCTGAAATTATGTACATTTGAAAAATTAAAAAGGCAATCTTCAGCCACTTCTTAAAGGAAAAGATATATAAGCCACTCTCTCCAGAAAGCATACCTGGAAGAGATTGAGTTTATAAAAAGCTAATCTCATCATAGTGCTTGAGTGGACTGTTCTCAGCTTTTAAAAGCTTCTTATACATTAAAGTAGAATGTATACCAATCATCTATTAGAAGTGCTTTGGAAAGCTAGTACATTAAGTTGTTCACTAAGTATCTGCAACAAATATACTCTTCTGTTTGGTGCCATTTTAGGCATGATATTTACAAATGCTGAAGGCTTTGATCTGATTTGCCCTTCTGGCATAGGAAGAACATACACACAAGCCTTGTTTCAAGGTTCAGTGTCTCAAAGGCAATGCTCCACTCACACCGGTCACACTGACGGTCTGCAATGCTGGCCTGACCCCTACAAATCCTGTTGACTATACCACTTTCCTTTCGGCCAATAAACATTTGCAACCGTTTTTATGTGACCAGTCACTGGACTATAGGATGTGGCTCTGATGTTCTTATCACCCCCAGAAGCTAGTCTATACTAGCTGAGAAGGCATATTTAAGTAGATAATGAAGATAGTGATGGATAAATAGAAATCCCTTGGTTTCAGCCACTTTGTTTCTTGTTCCTTTCCTTTTTCTGTTTTTTAACTTCTTTCTTTTTTTAGAACCTTGTACGTAGTCCTGGAGATCTCATACAGATATTTCCATGAGTTTTTTTCTGGACACCCAAATCTGCTTTCTGCAGTCAGTCTCTTCCAAGTTTCTTTTAAGATAGAGCCTTTTCAAACACTGCTTCCATTTAATTCTTTTTGTCAGGAATATACAAAGGGCAATTTGTAGTTAATGTAAATTTCTTGTCTGGTTTCTCATATCTGTTAGTATGTTGCCTCAATACAAGCTGATTTTGCTTCAAAGTGCATTTTTTCCTCTTGTACTTTGTACTTAGGCATTTCCTACACTGTCCTTTTAGATCAACTTAAAAAAACTATTGTTTACAACCACACAGGTTCCTAAATGCTTTCTAAACTCTATAGTAGCTGAGTGCTGATGACTCATGCCTATAATCCTAGCTACTAAGGACTGAGGTCAGGGGATTGAGGTGTAAAGCCAGCCAGGCCAAGAGAATCCATGAGACTTTTATCTCTTATTAACTAGGTGGGGGAAACAGCCTAAAGTGAAGGTGTGGTTCAAGTAGTAGAGTGCTAGCCTTCAGCCAAAAAGCCAAGGGTGAGCACAGAATTCTGAGTTCAAGTTCCAGCACTGGCACAAATTGATAGGAAAGTAGGTAGGTAGGTAGGTAGGTCATCAATAGATAAAAATCTCTACAATACTCAGATCAAACCCGTACATATTTTCAAATACATTAGTTCTCGTTCTCAACTTCTCTGCCAGATGTGCTGATTTTGCTGACTAAATGTACATCAATTTATTAAGAAAACTCAGCTAGAGTTAGAATAATCACTCTAGGACATAAAAACTCAGAGGTTCCCATCAGAAAAAATGACATTGCCCCATTTGTTAGGAAATGGAAAGATTTGGAAAAAATTATATTAAGTGATATAAGCCAGGCCCAAAGAAACATATGTCCCATGGTTTCCCTTATTTGCAATATCTAGTATATGTCTGAGTCAAGCAGAAAAGGTCAGATAAGGTGA